TATATAACAATTTTGTTTGCCGTTTTAGTGGACGGTGCGAAAACACGAAGCCATTGCTTTGGAGCAGCGCGCGAGTTTGTTTGCAAGGAGCTAGCGGACGAGCGCGCTCTGTCAGAGGCTCGCAAAGAGGCTGCAGAAGCCAACGAGGCCAGAACGGTAGAAAGATTAAAGTTGCAATTCCGGAATGGGTCAAATGTATTGGCAAATGGTTGTGGTTGATGAGAAAGAACACTGTAGCTGCAGCGCTCGAATGTTTATTCCTTTTTCACTTGCGCACCGGAAGTATATAGAACCGAAGTCGGCCGACGCCCGAACATTTAAGACTCTTTTGCTTTGATGCTCCTTCAGGAAGAGCTGCGGGCCTTCGGGCCTGGTGGGGCAAATACGCTCCGAGCAGCCCCACCAGCAGCGCGCACGCGTCCGACATGAACTCGGACTAAAAAGCTGGCGCGGTCTACAACGCTGCAGTTTGTGTTTCCAGATGCCGGTGGGGGTCCGGGCAAAACCCCTCCCCAACAGCAACCCGGGGCCGCGGCGTGGGACACCGCGGCCGCATCCCTCTCATTTCCGTGGGGGGGGGGGGCCGATCGTCCCGACCTGGGGCATGGTAGTTGCCCAAGGCCAAAGATCGGGAGAGCCGGTGTTCCCCAGACACACAGATGCAGACAGAGACGGACGGCAGGGAGACAGACAGAGACACACACACACACAGAAGACATTCACAGCAAACAGGATGCAGAAAACAAACAACCAACCTTTTCAACACACGGTACGTCGACAACCGGTACATCCTCATCAATGAGCAATTCCGACAATCACTACCCATCACTACACTTGCCCATCCAGATTTTTACGGAAATCCAGTTGAAATCAAGACTGTAGAAGACCATCATCTCTTGGGCTTTCACATCAACCCACTGACAAGAACCGTCACTTTCCAACTCCCTACCCTACCTATCCCTGGCAGATGCTGGAAGCCACCGGCTCCGCCTATCAGGCCTACAATCCAGGCATCACACACTGCGACAATACTCATACCCCTCACACATGGCTGAACTCACTTCACAGGCATTGGCATTGGTACAGTTATACGTGACAAAAGGTCACTCCATGGAACATTGCGCTGCAGCGCTGCGGCCTTCCAGAAAAGAACGCTTACATCGAGTGTTGCTAGCTGCGCCGCTTCGGCTTCTTGTGTGTGTCAACCCCCGTTCCAAGGGACACTAACCTACTTTTCTCTATACTACTTGGCTGCGCTTGATCGTGTACAGTTGTAGCAAGGCAGAGAGTCTACCACCAACGAAGACGCTCTCTAAGCCTTGGTGATACTGGGACTGATCATCCCAGCGTACCTGCACAATTTTAACTGATTCTCCCTGTTTCACCTATGTTCAAACATTCTGTTCGACCGACTCAGCAATTTCCTTTAGTCAAGGTCTAAACTGCAGTAACACTAAAGTGCTAATGCTCACCGCGCATTCTCTGAAGCTAAGCTCCGTGGAGCACTCATCTTAAGTGTGTGTGCTGTTGCATTGGACATTGGATACCCATGTCCTTGTGTGGGAGGCTAGGGGTCCAGCTCGGAATGCGCAAAACCTCATGAACACATCCCCTGACTTGGTTCTCGAAGGTGTGTCTCATTTTGTTCCCCATCAGACTTGGTCAGTCATGGGATTTGTCCGATAATGGATTGGATGCCTTCATAAGAGTACAAGTTGGGGGAATGAAGTGATGACGAAGATCCGAGGAAAGATCATAACTTCACAACTTCGAAGTATTCAGGACATGCGTTGGTTTCTCGATTTCGGTGTCCCTCGAAACCGGTGACCCTCGAACCTCTGCTACGCCAACGTTGAGCTTGCCGCTGCGTGGTGAGCTGGCAAGGTTAAAGAAGGTGGACTTCATTGAGCTTGACATCCAGTGTGGAGAATTTGAGGCTGGGAGGGGTATGTCCGACCCACCAAAGAAGGCGGCCCACCAAAGAAGGCGGATAGGCAGTTTTCAATGGAGATAGAGTTGGACATTGGACATGTCTGTTTCTCCTTGTTTGTCAAAGCGACCGGTTGGCTGCCGTGGCGCGGGTTATTCAGGCACCGCCCCTTGGAGCTGCGAGTCATGTTTGGGGTCGGTTGTGCGGGGGTTGATTTGGTGTGTCGGGTTCAGAGGCTGAACAGGAGACAGAACTCATGGGAAACCAGTGGAAGACCCTTGGAAACTCAAGTCCAGTGGAAGACCTTGGACTGTCCTTGGAAGACGTCTGGAAGATTGAAATCTGGTGTCTCACTCCCTGAAGGAAGAATGTCTTGGAGAGTAAAATCCAATGATCCACTTGTCGAGGAGGGTGCTTCACCTATATAACCATCATAGAATCTATAGAAGAAACCAAAATCCAGCACACATCCAAGGTTTCAGGGTACAATTGTCTAATGTCCTTCAATTACCTGTTGTGTGCTCTATGTGAGTATAAAACCAATAGAACATGTCGTACAACAATTAAACTTTGAGAACATGATGGGCAGCTCCCAAAGGCTCATTGGACCCTCATAGCTCAAGTTTTGACCCTCACAACTACGTAGGATATTGGACGAACCAACATGTAGCAGTTGAAGGGTTCAGGGTCGCCTTTGGGCTGATATAAAACTCATGCCACGTTCGTTCACTGGCCTTGGTCCAATTCCACTCTACCAGCTATATCCCTATAAAATATATCATCAAGTGGCCTTACTAAGCCATGCCATGCAAACGGACAACGTTCGATGTCGATGTTCCCAGTTCGCCCGCCGTAGGTCTTAGAACCTTCGGTGAAGCTGCTGCCCACGGCGACGCTGGTGCTGCTGGAGACCTGTTTACCGCCCGGGCTGTGCGAAGGGACCCCCACCTGGCCCGAGTTTCTTGGGGCGCAGCGAGGCGGTGCGGAAGAAAGCTGGCGCCTTCTTGAGGGCGTTTGGTTCCAAGGGGGTCACGGGATGGAGTGCTTTCGATTGGGGGGGATTTGATAGATTAGTATAATATACTTAGTAGTATGAGGTAGGTTTGTTGCTTGTGATCATGCAGGTGCTTTGTGATCGTGAACCATCGTTCAATCACCCAAGTGGCAGCCTTATTTCAAGCAGGTTGGGACTTGAAAAATCAGCAGGTCCTCTTCATAGGGATGGATCGCATGCCTTTCGGGGCGTCGTTTGGGGGATGAATTTCGGATGTTCCACGGGAAGATTCGATACGGGAGGTGCTGGATGTCTTTTCCTCCACGTTGGTGGTTCGATAGTCATGACTCTGCCAACTGGCGTGGCTTGGTGTGGCTCTATATATAACAAAACTTGGTGAAAACATGTGAAAACTTCACGTCAAAGATGGGTCATCGTTGGGACGCTAGCTTCTTTCGGTTTCATGGCAGGCAAAAACTCCAAGGAAGACTCATTGAAGACCACAGGAGTGACTTTCTTGGAGGAGGAAGCCGGCAGTTAGCCCTCAAGACTGACTGGATCAGGATCTCTCAGGATGCGGGCCCTACCACTGGCAAGAGCCACCCTAACTGCCACCCTCCACCCCAAATCCCTACTGGAGTCCCGTCCCTGGAGTCCCTCGCACGGGCCCAGGCTTCACCCGATGCTTCGACGGAAGGGCTTCGTGCTCCTGGCCACGGATGAACCCCCCCAGCAGCCTCGCCGAGCCGGAGAACCTCTGCTTCGATGCGTTGTTCGCCAACCTGGCTCAGGACCGGACAGACCGGACAGACGACCGACCGAGTGGGAACCGAGTGAGCACATGGTCCGATATATCATGTGCCATCCACCCATCAAAGGACAGGATATGATAAATTACTGATCTAAACCATTCTAAACATGTGGGGGTTTGGGGCCGGGTCTGAGGTCGAAGATGTTTGGAGCCATCGCCCGGGAAGCGGTTTTTGGATACATGTGCAAATGTGGATACATCTGACATGTTGTTGTTTTTGGTGAAGGTTTCGTTTGGACACTTCAAGGATCCAATCAGCGGAGAAAAGTTTGGGGCGACCAAACACATGGACAGATCATGACAGATGTGTGAAGTGATGCTCACACGATGAACTCTTGCATGATACATGAAATAGCTACTGCAGGGAGTTTCGGTATAGGTTTATGGTTTAGCTATGTTTAGCTGCTTAAATGCCATTGTTTACCCCCAACAACCGACACCCTGCGTCAGAGGAGCCTACGGCGCCCTTAGCTGCGTTGGACATCGCCCTCGAGGAGGACCTTGTCGCCGCCTCTTCGGGCGAAAAGACCTAGCGCGAGCCATGGGTGGTTGGCATTGCCCAAGTTCCACTCTGGGTCCGATCGAGGCCCGAACCAAAAACACGGGGGGGGGGTTCGTTTAGAGTTTGGATGGTTAATGTCCCATCTGACCAAATCTAAGCTATAGAAAAGAAAAGAGAAGCTGTATGGCTATGTGCAGAAGTTTCCGCCCCAGAGCTGTTGTCTCAAAGGAGGAGGGTGTTGTGTGTTTGTTTACTTGCGGAGACGCATGAAACGGCCCTATAGAAACGAAGCTTCTAAGATCTCCCATGTTTTATCAAAAAGGACCATTGAGATAGAATCTTTGGACCTTCTGACAGCCTTCGGTTCGGGCCGCACTAGCCTTTCCAAGAGATAGAAAAAACCGCATAGTAACTGGAAAGATCACACCGGTGTTGGACCAACATAGTATAATATACATCCCCGTAAAGGATGAGAGCCCAGACTGACCATGGGAATTTCATGGAGGATGTATATACTTATAGAGTCTGTCCGATCTTGCCTGTAGAGCCGTCAGTAAACAAGCCTATGATCACAACAGTTTTTGGGACCAAAACACCCTGCAACCAGGCCCCAACCTAACAGCTGCAACCGCTGCAGCCAGGCCCCATCATCATCCACTGTTACAGCCTGGTCAATAGGATAGACCCAATAGGATAGACCCATTGAAGCTCCGGTGTTTCGCCCCCACCGGGCCTCACCGGGCTCCGGGCTCTGGACTCTGAGGTCGGTGAGCACGGCACCGCCGCCGCTGCGGTGGCTGCGCTGCGGGCGCAGGCGGGCTCCTTGGGCAAGGACGGCCCATTTAGATCACCAAAAAACAGGTGGGTTTTATGGGTGGATCTCACATGAAGGGTATAGTTCTTCAGGTTTTTCAATGATCAATGGTTCAAACACTGGCGGCCCATTCATATGCTAAATGGCAATATAGAGTATAAAGGGTGTTTATCATGTTTTGAATATGGTTTCATTGCCCTGCACCTGAGTACGTGAACATCCAGGAACTGCAGGATGATTTGTTCAAGGCATGTGGGTGGATGGTTTTATGCACGATGAATTTGGAATCAGGTGGAGTTGGGATGGGATGGTTTTTGAGGGATGAGGGTCATGTTCAAGTTAAGCAGCTGGATGGTTTTGTCCCCAATCTGGGAAGATGGACAAGATGAAGACAGTAATGCCAAGTTAGTGGTCAATAACTCGCAGTGACAGTTGGCAAAACATGTCAAAAGCCTGGAATTGTTCGAGTCCAGCAAGGACTCTTTGATGTTCAGGCCTATGGTATCAGATGTATCAGCAAAAAGACGACCTACAATGAAGATGGGTGTAAGCCACACTAAAAACATATAAAAGCAAGACCAATCAATTTTTGTTAGAGGAATGACCGGCTCCTGGAAGCAAGCACCCGCCTCCACACATATATCCACACATATACGCATGTTCACGCCAATAGTGATCCATGTTACTGAGGCCAAACATGACTGACTGTTGCAACTCGCAAGGACCCAGGGTGACTGGATCCTACACGAAATCTCACTTATAGAGAGGTCATTCATGGTCATTCCCTCATTTGTCTGCAATTCGCACCCTCAAAAAAAAATGTAATTTCTTCAGTCACTGGATGAGCCTTTGCCTTTTTGCTTCTTTGTCTCCACGCCGATCACTCAAGGCAGAGGCGGAAGACTCCGAGTGTGGCATGTCCCAACGCCTGGTGCGCAAGGCCCCGCCGAGCGCGTCTCGTCCGAGCCATTTGGGGAACTCCGCCGACCGACGAGTGGCAGACACTTCAGGGTTGGAAGATGGACCGCACTACAACCACCCATAAATGGTAGATGGCAGTCCCATGGAGTGTTTGGAGTGTGTTATACTGTTATACTGTTTTTTTTTCTCCGTATAAATAGTGTGGCCATACTAAGGGCTCCGGTAATTGTCAAGGCTGGGTGTTCGATCGGTGGTGCTCGCTCGGCGTGTGCGGCTCGTTCGCTGCTATTTGCAGTACATTCATTCACCTACGAGATCTTGGAAGTGCAGTTCGACTGTGCGCTCATTGTGGTGCGGTGTGGTGCGCATCTTTGGATTTCGTGGTCACTTTTTCGTGGCAGGCGCAAGGGACACCTTGTGTTTAGGTGGTGCAAAGTCGACTTTTCGTGGTTTGAGGGACACAAACACACAAAGAACAAAGACACACTTTTCAGTGAAGCTTCTTGCAGCAGTTCAACAGAATCAAGCACTAACTTGGAGGGGAAGCTGGCCCCTGAGAGTTTTGACACATTGATTTCTGATCTCGCCCCCTCTCACGTACATCGGCCCTTCTGCAAAAAGTCGTGACATCGCCCTGACGAAACGACGAACGAAACGGGTCGGTGGACCTCCAAAACGTTGTTGCGATCGTTGCCTAAAACATGTTTTGGGTGACCAGACTTTAAAAAACGTGTGCCACATAAGCATCAAAATTCACCGCCGTAGACCTCAAACACTTAAGCGCCGTAGATCCATTGGAAGGCATTTCTTTGCCAGAAGGCGGACGCAGTAGACACAAATATATAGAGGAGTCAAATTTGCTACTAAGCGTTTGCCTTCTGGCGGGACAGTGGCCACACTGGGAGACGCATGTAAAGAATTGTTGTTGAGGAGTTGCCACAAGGTGGGCACACTGGCCTACGGGGCACGACAAATGCCAAGAAGGGTTTCTAAGCAGTTGCCAGACTGGGACGCAATTGTAGAAAACCGTCCTTAAGGAGCTGCAACAAAAAGGGGGATTCAGCAGTCCAGACTGGGCGGCGAAGGTGAAGAATTCCCACACTGGGAGACACATGTAAAGAACTGCTGCTGGAAGACAAATGTCTAGAACTCTATAAGGACACACCAGCCCAGGCTGGAGACACATGTATAGAAATGTTTCTAAAGTGTTACCAGAAGGCGGACACACAATGGGCAAAAACCATCAAAGACTCGACGTCTCGGCTCATGGACCCGAACCAACTGCTACATGTTGGTTCGGTCATGTTCGGTCCAAACCTTAGTTTTGCGAGGTCAAAACCTAGCGTCCATTTTGTTGAACAAAGTGCCAGTCCTCCCAAGTCTCAGGTGCGCAGAATGATTCAAAATCGCAACAAATGTTTGGCTTGTGAATTCTGCGCCGCAAAGTGCCTCAAGCTCCTCCACCTTCATTCACCGTCCGGAGCAGCTCCGGTGCCTCCACACAGCCCCGAGCCTCTCGCACCTTCGAGTTCTTTGCTCGTTCGCGTCGAGGTCTCGGAGCTGCTGGTGATGCGCTTCCTGCCGGTGGTGGGCGCTGGCGCCTTCCTGAGACCCTCGGCAGCGACAATCGCGGCGTGCCGGCGACGTTTTTGCGGAGCGGCAGCGATGGGCGGGTATCTGGATATATCTGGATATACTATGAAATATGTTTAGATCAAGTGGCTGTGGGTCAAGACTTGCGACCTTTCTGGGGACGGTCGTTCCAATCATTTCTGGTGGGTGCAATGACCATGCAAAGACTGGGTCATCACTCACTATCTTGGGCCCTTTCTCGCATTCTTCGGACATATCTTTGGCTATGACTCAAGAATCGGATACACCCTAGCAATCCTCTCCCTTGTCAAAAGCAAACACCAACAAAACCGCGTGTCCCTGGGTCTGAATCTCTGGCGAGTGTGAGACCAAACCTCCACGCCATTTGTCCCGGCCGACATCTATTCATAATGATTCCCCATATCTCGCCACAGTCACAGCTCCAAACCGCGCAGCTCCACCGAGGCTACACCATCTACTCCCGGCTGCGCCTGGCCGCGCTGGTCGCCGAGATGAACGGCCGGGGTGCTCTGCCGGGACGAGCGTCCACGGGCCCGGTGGGTCGCAAAACAACACATGGACAACATGTCTGAAGGAAGGACTGTCAAGGACTCCACCTGGCCACCTCAATGAATAATAAATCAGTTGTTATCCCAGCAATGTGCAATAAGACCGTCCGATGAGAGGAGAAACATACCGAACCGCAGGCTGAAGGGTCACCCACGCCAGCTGAGAGGTCTTTTGATGTGTTCCTTCTTGTGGACGCCTCTCCCGAAAACGCAGGTTCTTGCGCGGGAAAACACGAACACAAGTTCTTGAAGCTTACTATGTGTGGCCTTTATAGCCATAGGCCATGTGAGATCACGAGTAGCATCACCAAGTGTCTGTTCGAGAAGTCCATAGTTTCTTCTGGAAAGCTCCTTTTTGGCAGTTAGAGTGGATCAACATGATCTCGGTGAGGTCTAGCTGCCAAGGATAGACTAGCTTCTACGAACTGGATCCTTGAATAGAATCGGATCCGAGCAGAACATCAGGTATGTAATGTAACATAAGTAACATAAACCGTTTGGTGGTCCAGATCTTGCAATTCTTGCCGCCTATTCATCCAATTGTGGTGCATCCAAAGTGGGTGTACAACAGTGGAGTACATAGAGTGGTATACGCAGTAGGATGGACAGATAGAAACAGTTCTCTACCATACTCTGCCATGCGCGTTCATCCTATTCTCCTGGGTGTGGTGGTGATGTGATTAGCATTTATAGCTAGAAGTTTGCCTGCTACTCACTCCTTTGCCTCCGAAATCTCCCACCACTGTTGGCCTCATCGCCTCGTTGAGTGCGCGACCCTTCCAGTGCAGCGGCCGAATGAGGTCACAACGCGGAAGATCCGGAAGTGCAGGTGACCCGCCGAGGGGGTCCGAGGGGCCTTGGCGGCGAAGCCCAAAAGAAGCACTTTTTGATGAAACAACGTCATTTGAGAAGCCCAATTTGGTCGTTGGAAGAGGAATCCATTTCTTGAACGAGCATCCTTTGGAAGGCAGGAGCTGGAGCTGGCTGTTGGGATGGCCATTTGCTGTCGGATAGGTGGGCCATCCCGAAGCTGGTCACTTCTCGGAAAAGTCTAATTTTGAACCAATTGGTGTCTATTCGAGAAATGTGATGAGAAAGTTTCTTGGAAGAAAGACCATCGAACGTATCGAACCCTGTCTACCCCTCCGGCTAGGGATGTTTTCATATGTTTTCCTATTTCAATTAACATTCAAAATACTTGTTCCAACAAGTGGACCACTCAGTAGAGGTTCTCCAGACGTGAAGTTTGTTCAGTTTGGGTTGGCAGGGAGGAACCGGCGAGCGAATTGAAGGAAACCCTGCGAGTTGTTTTTCTCCCATCAATGCCGGTGTTCAACGGAGTTTCAGCCGGGAATCGGTCAGTAGGACCAAGAGCTTGTATCCGTCATCAACGACTTCAAACGGAACTGTGGACTTTGATGCTTGTCGCCAGACCCAAATGAGAAAGGTATGCGTTCATCCAAGTTAATTGGAAATTGGGAGGGTGGGACGGTTGGACTGGAGGGTCCAAAATGACACGCTCATTTTCTGGCTTTTGGGCCATCCCTTTGACGATTGGAGACCAACGGGCCAACGGGCACTGCCGGGGGGGAGCAACCGCTCTAAGTTGCTCACTTTCACAAGACTCAGACCATTCTTGGTGAGGGCGCAATGAGTCTTGAAGCAATCCAAACTGCTGGAATTTAACTTTGCCCACCAATACTCAATAGAGGGAAAATCTTGCTGGTTCTTTTGCTCAATGCTTGCAGTTTGGAGCATCTTTTTTTGTAGGGAGGGCAGGTGAAATAGATCAAACGAGCAACACACACACCAACCATCCCAGGATCCCTTGCATCCGCCAGGGCCTGCTCTTCTTCTGCATTCTCCCCGGCGGGGAGCAGTCGCCCAGCGACGCCGAGACCGAGACGGCAACGGCGTCACCGTCAGGCGTGAAGCTGAGGAGAAGCTACCTGGTCACGGCACAAAAGAACCGTTATTGGCCAAAGTCACACCCATGGGATCCCAAGGGTAACGGAATTGGTCATCTGGAACCTGGAGGTTGCAGGGTCTTCTTCTTTTGAATCACAGGCACCTGTTCCTCGTTGCGGGAGATGTTTGATGTGTGAAAGGCAGATCCACGTCGAGCCCGCAAGCAAGCAATGTGCAGCGCTCAGACAAACCGTTGCTAAGTGATCAAAACCGTCGGGCCATGCATGTTGCATGTTAAAAGCCGCTATTGCCTTGGCTATGGGCAAGAAATATGAACCCCACCGTTATGCAGATGCACACATTTGCTGCAAAAGCCCATAAACAATGAGGCAAGCAACAACATGATGATAGAATACTCACCTCAAGCAGAAGATACGTTAAAGAGATCTAAGGTCGCAAGTTGAGACATGGCAGTATAGTTTTGGAGGTCGAGAGATTATATACACTATGCACAGTAACATCAGAATGTCGGCCAGACAAGAACAACCACTGAGAATTGCAGTGAGTGAACTCCCAATGGTAGCTTGGTTTGCCACTTTCGTGGTTGGAAGGTTTTCGATTTCAACAAGCGCTATTCTTGCACCGCCAATGCAAAGCCAAAGCACATGGACGCACTTTGCTAGTGAGGCGTTTCACCATTCCAGGAGGTGTTGGCAAGTGAGCTCGCATGGCAGACTTTGCAACACCAAAGGAGTCATTTCCAATGGGTCTCTCCAAGCGGACGGGTACAAAGCTGTTCAAATCTGCAGGCAGAAGTGGTTGGTTCATCGCATTGTGAAAATTACTTTTCATGGGCTTCCAAAAAATCAGGAAGCGTGGCAAGTGCATCACGTTGATGGCAACAAAGGCAACAACTGTTTGGACAATCTGGAGTACGTAACACCTAGTGAAAACAACCGTCACTCATTCTCCTGCCCTTCAAGGCGCAGCAGCGGGCCTGCACAATCGAAGCCTGTGCTGTGGAGACCCGTCGGGTCCATGAGCTGGAGAACCAACCCTTCTGCAGCAGCTCTAGCTGAGCAGCTGGGCATGTGCAAATACACAGTCGCAAAACGTTGTCGCAAGGAGTCTTCAGCAAAGGGCTATGAGTTCCGTTACCAAGACCAAGATCTGAGTGTGCTTGCTTTGCCTGGAGAAGAATGGCGACCGATGGTCGATCCCAGGTCAGGTGAACAAGTGTCAGGAAGGATGGTAAGTTCTTTTGGTCGAATACGATCGCAGACCGGTTTGATAGGTAAAGGGACTTTGACTGCAGAGGGGTACTATAGAACTGCCGTGAAAGGTGGCTTATGCTACCGGAATGTGTACGTTCATCGCCTCATTGCCTTTGTTTTTGTGGGGCCACCGGCTTCTGTTCATCAGACCTGTGTGAACCACAAAGACCTGGACAAAGGCAACAACGCAGTAGAGAACCTCGAGTGGGTCTCTCCTGCAGAAAACCAGGTTCATTTTTATGCATCATCCACCCCTGGGCGTGGAACCACAGTAAAGGCTGTTTGGAGCCGTTTGCATGGAACTGATGATGAGTGGAGGTGGCATCGCTCCATGGCAAGCGCAGCACGTGAACTTGGTCTGAAACCCAAATATATCTCCAACTGCACGCGGGGTCTACAGCGGAAGACTGGTGGATTTGAATTCCGACTGGCAGACACACCAGCAGAGACGAGCTTTTCGCTTCCAGGTGAAGAGTGGCGACAAATCAACAAGCTTTTGCTCCAAAGAGACAGAGAACTCCGTGGGCTTTGTTGACCGTTACATGGTGGAGCAAAATGAGGTAGTCAGCTGGTGTGCAAGCCTACAATGACTTGGTTTGCCGAACGAATGCAACACTCTGGACCAAGCAAAACCTCACATGACGTTGTTTTCAAGGATTGGGGTGGTTATCATGCGGACCGGAGACCTAGGAGCTCCGTGACTTGAAGCCTTCTTCGACTTGCTGGACAATGTTTCACCCAGCTGCTTGTACGCGAACTTGTTTGAGTGCCGGCAGCAAGATTGTTCGGTTGAGATTGCCGATTGTACAGGGTGTGGGGGTCCTGTTGTTCGGCACTAATCATTCGGCCGGTTGATCCTGGGTTGGCCTCCCTGGTAGTCTAGTTTGTTCATTCTCTTTGGTCAATCAGGGTTTCCCGGCTTTTGCTCACAGCCATTTAGTACTGTGCAGCTTGGACAGGGGTGCAAGGTCCAAAGTCGACGCCTGACATTCTACAGAACGGTTGCTCGGATCTTTTGTCAGTATATGCGATAGGCTTTGGGACCCGGACTTACTGGATATACGTACATACTTTCTCTCTTGGAAGTCTCATCGGCTGAAGACTTAGACTAGAACCACAGTTGCCAGGGTAATTTGTCGTGCGCAAACTGTTTGCTTTGCGCCCAAGGGTTGTTTAAGTGCTAGAGAAACATGTAATGTGCTTAGAGGTGTCTCTTAATTGGATGACTGCTTTGTCCGCGTCGAATTGGAAGTTCAGGGTCATCAGGTAGAACCAAGCGATGTGCGGTGCTTATGGAGAAGGAATACCCCCCACCCCAGAGTCTATAGTTCAACCCACTAACAACTGATTCGTGCCCAAAGCTAACTTGGTGGAACTTGGCCAACACCAGTTCTGGCTTCCACCTGGCAAAGCATGCGACAGCAATTGAAGGGTTGACCTTGGTGGTGCTGAGGTGAACTTGAAAGAACTGAAAGAACATAGAGTCTCAAGACAGCCTCAGGTAATCAAAGACCCATTTGTTTTGCGGACAATACGCTAGGAAGACCACTTAGGTTTGTGGCATCGTGGGCATGTTTAGTGAATGTAGTTTTGACGTGTTTGCCCAGAACAAACATTGCTTTTTCAACCATTGTGCCAGCGTTCGCATTCAGTAAGTGACGCCTTTGTATAGATATGAGTAACTAATGTAGACACCTCTGGCACAGTGCCAATGCTGACAAGATGGCTACCATCATGTGGATTGTTCCGCAGCTGGCCAGTGACTTTTTGCCGATCAGTCGTGTGAAGTGCACAAAGGTTGCTGGCAGGTGAGCTCGCATGGCAGACTTTGCAACACCAAAGGAGTCGTTTCGAGGGGGTCTCTTGATTGTAGTGGCTACAGGCGTGTCGACATTTTTGGAAAGGCCTTCAAGGTCCATCGCGTGGTCAAGATTGCTTTTCATGGGCTTCCAAGAAGTGATGAAGCCTGGCAAGTGCATCACATTGATGGCAACAAAGGCAACAACCGCTTGGAGAACTTGGAGTACGTAACACCCAGCGAAAATGTTTGTCGCTCGTACTCCAGCCCTTCTAGGCGTGATGCTGGGCTTGCACAGTCCAAGCCAGTGCTGTGGAGACCTGTCGGGTCCACGAGCTGGAGAACAACCCCTTCTGTCGCAGCTGCAGCATGGCAGCTTGCGATAGACAAAGGGACATTGTCGGTATGTTGTCGCAAGAGGTCAGCAGCAAAAGGCTATGAACTCATGTACCAAGACGTCAGCGAACTAACTTGCTTTGCCTGGAGAAGAATGGCGACCCATGGTTGATCCCAGGTCAGGTGAGCAAGTGGTCAGGAGGATGGTAAGTTCTTTTGGTCGAATAACATCGCAGACCGGGTTGATAGGTAGAGGGTTTTTGACGGCCCAGGGCTACTATAGAACTGCACTAACTGCACATATGTTCAACTCACGCTGCAAAAAACGCTTGTCCATCGCCTGTGGCTTTTGCTTTCCTTGGGCGTCCGCCCACTGTGAGTCAAACCTTTGTAAACCACAAAGACCTGGACAAAGGAAACAATGCAGTGGGTAACCTGGAATGGGTCACTCCAGCAGAAAACCGAGCTCATTTTCATGCAGTACAGTACCCTGGCACGTGGTACCACAGCGAAGCCTCTTTGGAGCCCATTGCTTGGAACGGATGATGAGTGGAGGTGGCATCGCTCCATAGCAAGTGCAGCGGGTGAATTTGGTTTTGCCAGCACCAGGATTTCTCAGTGCGCTCGGGGATTGCAGCGGGAAGCAGGTGGATTTGATTTGAGTTCCGACTGGCGGACACGTCAGACAGTGCTGTTTTGCTTCCTGGTGAAGAGTGGTGGGATGTCAACGAGCGCTTGCTCCAAAGAGACAGAGAATTCCGCGGGCTTTGTTGACCGTTACGTGGTGGAAACAACTGAGGCAATATCAGCTGGTTTGCAAGCTTTCAATGACTTGGTTGTGTGGAACGAAGGCAACACTCTGGACCAAGCAATTCCTTTTAACCTGTTGGCAACTTGCGAGGCCACAAGAACTCATTGGCTGACAAATATCTCATGGTGACACGGTGAACACTTTTTTTTGATGATTTTTGCAATTCCCCTTAATCCTAGCTTGGTTCCAATACGTCAACGGAGGCTTAGGTGCCGGGCCTTGTTTGGTCCAACCGACGACTGCAACTGCTTGGAAAAAAAGTCTCGCGATGAAGAGTTGGTATGACCCACCAGGCTGTGCAAATAAGTTGTGTGTGTGTGGAGTACATTCCTCTCGTTTGTTTTCGGAGGTGCGTGTTCATTTGCAGGAGAATTGTTAAACTCAACTTGCCTTTCAATTTGAGGTCACAGGTTTGCAATTTCTTGAACATGGTTTTGAGGACTGGCCCGCGGGGTGTCATTGTTCCGAAGGCCAACAAGGCACGCTTGGGGCAACCTGCCTCGAATTCGTACAAAATCAGAATCGAAGACCTTTCTTCAAAAGAGGGCAGGTTCCATGTTCATGTTTCTTTGTTTAGTGAGCATGCACATCCACCGTTTTCCAGATATTGTATAACAAGCAAGCTCACATGACCGTGTTTTTCCAGTCAATTGGTGCCCCGGTATATTTATCACACTTTGTATGTCTATTTTTATATGATGTGATGATAGGTCTCTAAGGACTAAGGACTACTGGTTGCTTCGAAGCCAAGAAATTGTAGCCAGCACATTTTACTGCAATGGGGTCGATGTAGAGGGCGCAAAGGTTGTTGATCGGTTTTGATTCGAATCCACTTAATGTATCAAATGTTTTTATGCTTTGGTTATCACCATGTTCTTGCAAGTCGCCATAGATGATAACTGTGCAAAAGGATTCAATGGGATTCTCAACCTGCTTTGGTGATCCTCCCTTCGGGGCATCAGGCTAGGTTCATTAAAGGCATTCAAAGGCTGGTCTCGGTAGGGGGAAGTCTGAGAGGGCACTCAAACATTCGAGCTGGGTTGCAAGGCTCAAGGTCAAAAACCTCACTTCAAGGTGTGCCATGTGAGGCGAAAAGCATGTGCAGATCAGCGCGTTTTGATTCGACCATTCAGCAAGTGTGTCTTATTGAACTTCTACACCGTACCTTCCAACTCAAGAACAACATGTTCTAGATTCATTGCAACAGGAAAAAGCTGTACTTTCACTGCTGCATGGAGAAGATGCAGACATATATGTGACATGGCCACTAGTCCGTGCTTCTTGATGGCTTGTGTATCACCTGGTGTTTGGCACCGATCGGCGACTGCGTTCCAGCACTTTGCCAGCCAGTCGCTTCAACCCTCACTTGGGTGTTGGCACGTGAGCTCACATGGCCGAGTCTGTAACTCTAAGGGAGTCATTTCCAATGGAACCCTCCGTCCAGATGGCTATATGGCTGCTGGAGTGTTTCAACAGACGTGGCTAGTTCACCGTGTGGTCAAGATTGCCTTCCATGGACTTCCAACCATTGACGACGCCTGGCGAGTACACCACATAGATGGTGACCGAGCCAACAACCGCTTGGAGAACTTGGAGTACGTAACACACAGCGAAAACATGCACCACTCATTCTCCAGCCCTTCAAGGCGCAGCAGTGGGCCTGCACAATCGAAGCCTGTGCTGTGGAGACCTGTCGGGTCCATAAGCTGGAGAACAAGCCCTTCTGTCACAGCTGCAGCCTGGCACCTTGCCATGCACAAATCTACGGTGTCAGCATGTTGCCGCAAGGAGTCTGCAGCAAAGGGCTACGAGTTTAGGTACCAAGACGTCAGGGAACTGGTTTTGCCTGGAGAAGAATGGCGGCCCATGGTTGATCCCAGGTCGGGTATCTCAGTTGCCGGAAGGATGGTGAGCTCTTTTGGCCGCATAACGTCGCGGACAGGATTGATTAGCAGAGGGTATCAAACGAGCAGCGGGTATTTTAGAACAGCACTTTTGTTCAACTCACACTGCAGGAGTAGTACATTTGTCCATCGCCTGGCTGCTTTGGCTTTCCTTGGGCCACCGCCTTCTATTTATCAAACGTTTGTGAACCACAAAGATCTGGACAAAGGCAACAACGCAGCGGAGAACCTGGAATGGGTTTCTCCAGGAGAAAACCTTGCTCACTTTCATGCAGCTTCAACCCTTGGACGTGGTACCACAGCGAAGCCTCTTTGGAGCCGCCTGCATGGAACGGATGATAAGTGGAAGTGTCATCGCTCCATGAAAAGTGCTGCGCATGAACTTTGTCTAGATCGAACATGTATCTCCAAGTGCACGCGCGGTGTGCAGCGGCAAACTGGTGGATTTGAATTCCAACTGGCAGAAACACCAGCAGAGACAAGCTTTTCGCTTCCTGGTGAAGAGTGGCGACAAATCAACAAGCGGTTGCTCCAAAGAGACAGAGAACTCCGTGGGCTTTGTTGACCATTACATGGTGGAGCAAAATGAAGTAGTCAGCTGGTTGGCAAGCTTTCAATGACTTGGTTGAGGAACGAAGGCGGCACTCTAACGAGACCTCATGTGACGTTTTCCAGGATTTGGGTGGTTATCCTATTTGGATCAAATCTAGGCTGAACATGCTGACCGAAGGCCTCCGAGACTTGAGTCCTTCTGCTGTTTGCTGGAAAATGTTTCAATTAGCTGCTTGTACGCCAACATCTTTGAGCAATTTTGATCGGGGGAGATTGCCGATTCTAAAGCGGCGTGTGGGGGTCCACTAACGACTTGGCTGTGGGTCAAAGCAAGGAGCCTGGTTGACCCTGGGTTGACCTCCCTGCTAGTCTAGTTTGTTCAGTCTCTTTGGTCAATCAGGGTTTCCCGATTTTGGCCCAGGGCCCACAGTCATTTAGCTGGTGTGCAGCTCGGACAGGGGTACAAGGTCCAAAGTCGACACCTGACATTCTACAAAACGGGTTGCTCGGATTTTTTTGTCAGTATATATATATGTGATAGGTTTTGGTACCCGGACTTACTGGATATACGTACATACTTTCTCCCTTGGAAGTCTTATCGGCTGAAAACTTAGAGACTAGAACCACAGTTGCTATAGTAATTTGTCGTGCGCAAACTCGCTAAAGGGTTGTTTAAGTGTTAGAGAAACATGTAATGTGCTTAGAGGTGTCTCTTAATTGGATGGCTGCTTTGTCCGCGTCGAATTGGAAGTTCAGGGTCATCAGGTAGAACCAAGCGATGTGCGGTGCTTATGGAAAAGGATAACCACCCACCCCAGAGCCTCCAGCTCAACCCACGAACCACTGATTCGTGACTCAAAGTTAACTTGGTGGAACTGGCCAACACCAGTCCTGGCTTCCACCTTTGCTGCATGTGACAGCAATTGAAGGGTTGACCTGGGGGTGCTGAGGTGAACTTCAAAGAACTGAAAGAACATAGAGTCTCAAGACAGCCTCAGGTATTCAAAGACCCTTTTGATCCCTTTTGTTTTGCAGACAAAACGCTAGGAAGACCACTTGGTTTGGAGTTGCTGCTGCGGGGGTGAGAGAAGGCTCCTTGCTGTCTTGCCATGAACATACTTATGTTTCTGGCATCTTGGCTGATATAGACAATTTAGTCCTGACGTGTTTGCCTATAGAACAAACGCAAGGGTTTTTCAACCATTATGCCAGCGTTCGCATTCAGTAAGTGACGCCTTTGTATAGATATGAGTAACTAATGTAGACACCTCTGGCACAGTGCCAATGCTGACAAGATGGCTACCATCATGTGGATTGTTCCACAGCTGGCCAGTTGCTCTGCGACTTTTTGCCGATCAGTCGTGTGAAGTGCACAAAGGTTGCTGGCAGGTGAGCTCGCATGGCAGACTTTGCAACACCAAAGGAGTCGTTTCGAGGGGGGTCTCTTGATTGTAGTGGCTACAGGCGTGTCGACATTTTTGGAAAGGCCTTCAAGGTCCATCGCGTGGTCAAGATTGCTTTTCATGGGCTTCCAAGAAGTGATGAAGCCTGGCAAGTGCATCACATTGATGGCAACAAAGGCAACAACCGCTTGGACAATCTGGAGTACGTAACACCCAGCGAAAATGTTTGTCGCTCGTACTCCAGCCCTTCTAGGCGTGATGCTGGGCTTGCACAGTCCAAGCCAGTGCTGTGGAGACCTGTCGGGTCCACGAGCTGGAGAACGATCCCTTCTGTCGCAGCTGCAGCACGGCAGCTTGGGATAGACAAAGGGACATTGTCGGTATGCTGTCGCAAGAAGTCTGCAGCAAAAGGCTATGAGTTTAGGTACCAAGACGTCAGCGAACTTGCCTTGCCTGGAGAAGAATGGCGGCCCATGGTTGATCCCAGGTCGGGTGCTTTTGTGCCAGGACGGATGGTGAGCTCTTCTGGCCGCATAACATCGCGGACTGGATTGATCAGCAGAGGGTATCAAACAAGCAGCGGATATTTTTCAACATCACTGGTGTTCAACTCAAGCCGCTGGGGTACACTTGTCCATCGCCTGGTGGCCTTTGCTTTTCTTGGATCACCGCCATCTGATGGTGAAAGCTGCGTGAACCACAAAGATCTTGACAAAGGGAACAACGCTGTCGAGAACCTGGAATGGGTCTCGCAGGCACAAAACCTCACTCACTTTTACGCGTCAGCAACTCTTGGTCGTGGGACTGCAGCAAAACCTGTTTTGAGCCGACCTCATGGAACCATTGGCTGGTGGAGGTGGCATCACTCCATGACAAGTGCAGCGCATGAACTTGCTCTTAGTAGACATAGCATTTCTTCGATTTCTCGATGTGTCCGTGGGCTGCAGAAGCAAGCCAGTGGCTTCGAGTTCCAATTTGCTGAGGCACCGGAGATTGTTTCATCGGTCCCGGGCGAAGAGTGGCGTGCAGTCGACGTGCTCTTGCTGCAAAGAGACAAGGAAATCCGTCATATCCAAAATTGATGACGTGCCAGAAGGTGCTCAGTCTTCGTCCAGTTTTCAACTGAAAAGATTGAAGTGGGGCTCTCACAATTATTCTGTCAGACAGAAGAAAAGCAAACCCAGTCTTGAAGTGGAAGAATGGCCCCTCAAAGTAAGTTTGACGACGTGGAAGTGGTGTGCTCAATTGAGGGTGTCCTACAAGTAGATTGATTAATGGACCAGTTCTCAATTAGGTACATTTGTATACACGTCAATGACCTTTACCGTGCTCCTAGTTCTGTGTGCTCCAAGGTTTTGGACAGGAATGTTCATGCAAGGACATGCTAAAAGAAGATAACTTGTGTGTCATTTGGTTTGCCCTCAACCACAGCCATTCCATATCAATCCTCAAGACAGAAGATTTGCATCATATGTGCCCCTACAGTGATGGTGGTACCCTATTTCGACATACCAACCACGCAGGGACGAACATTGCGCGTTGTCCTTCAGTGGTTGACAATTCGATTGTTGGTGGATGGGCAAACCACAAACCTGGTGAGATAGCAAGAAGATCAGGAGCTCCATGTCATTGCAAGTGATTGCATCAGCTGGGCACAAACACCAAACTCTTCCTAGGTCAAACAAAAAGATGGCAACTGGTCGAACCATACCAATAGCTCTCCTGCTGCCTTGTCAACTTGTTTGTTTTTTCTCCTTTTACGTTCTCCCTCCTTCTCCGTTTTTCTTGGCCACTTCTTCGAAGGCGCGTGTGTTTTCTTGGACCGCGAAACAACCGCAGCAACACCATCCTCTTCGTCGGAACGTCACCACCATTCACCCGTGGCCGCGGCTCGGCAGGTCGATCGAAGCCGGTGGCCCTCCGGGCGGCCCGGGGCCTGGGCCACGGCCTGGCGCGGCAGGCGGGGAAATCAGCAGGGGATAGGTTGGAGAGAAGAAGGGTCATGGTTTCGAAAGAGTTTGCACAAGGAGAGTGTGTATGACAGGGGCGTGGCTAGCGAGTTGTTCTTCTCCCAGGCAGCTCATCGAAATCAAACATGATTGTGTGATGGTAGTGTACAGCAGTAGTTTGTTCGATATTACGCCCAGTCCGGTGTTGTCATGTTTGGGATGACTGTGTCAGTGAACGCTTGGAAGGGGAACTTGAATGGAAAAACGACCACATCAGGATCTTCAGGCAACGACTCGTCGTGGCTTTGTTGTCTTCACAGCATCAAGTGGATGAAGGCGACATGCATGGTGTTGCTCAATTGGGGTGATGTTAATATTCCCTTTTGGGTAAACCCCTGTTGGAGAAGACTTTAGATTGTTCCTGGTTCCTGAAGCAAATCCAAGTATGGGGTCTGATGTCTAACCACTTGCTACAATTGACGAAGGACGACGTGTTGGTCTCTCTGAGGCGTGTGTTTGTCACAACTCTGTCTTGATCAGGGCCGGGCGGACCATACCGGTCCCCGCTTCGAGCCAAAGGTGCTGGAATCTTGGAAGTGCCAATATATGTTTTCATTGTTTATCAATCCTTAGAACATCAAAGGCCTTCTTGCCCTAATTAGTTCGATTGCTTTGTGTTTAACAATAATACCCTCAAAGTTGTGGTTTGGTCAGCTTTCTTGGACTTTCTTGGTCAAATGTTCACCAATTTCCAAAGATCACAGGTGTCATTCCACCTGGAACATTCAAGAGTTGCAGAAAAGATCAAGAACCCAGCAAACACCACCCTCCAATCCCTCTTCCAATCAGACCTTGAAGCCTCAGCTTTCATCCACAAAGATGAAACTCTCTTCCATCAACCCATCAATCTCTCTTTCATCCACAAAGACCAAACAAAAACATGTGACTTGCTTTCTATGTGGGAAGAAAAAGCCTTTGGCCTTTCACGTCGACCGCGGCAAGCCGCTCGGTGGAAGCTGCCGGTCTCCTGCACCGAGCCCCTCGGAGGTGCTTCAGAGGTCCACCGGCTGGCGCTCGGCCTCGGTCCGGGGGACCTAATTGAGTTGAGCAGGGCTCGGTCTACCGGTTATGATGTGTTTTATGAAAGACAGAAAGATTTGAGGAAGCAAGAAATAAATTTTAGATTTTGAATGAAATGGATAATGAGGTTACGTCAATATCCTGAATCCTCAGAAGGGGGAATGCTGACATCTGGCGCATGACCATCCATTAAGCGTGCAGTGCTACTTTTCACTGAGGTTCACGACATGCCGTCATTCCCGGCCTTTTGCCATCCATCCACGGCCATGCATGGGTAGACTGGTCCAGTTTCCTCCTTTCAGGAATTGCGAACTGGGGAGATCTCCCAAATTTCGAATATGTTTGAATCAACACCACCCACATATGAAGGTAACTTTTCGGCCACACCACGTGAAGGTCCAGAAGTGAACCCACTTCTTCGCTCCGTTCGGCAAACGACGACGAACCACCAGCCAACGGCCGAGGACCTCTATGACCTGGCGGCCGCCATTTGCTCGGAGCGTGAACCGGGAGAGGCCCCAAGTGGCCCAGGGGCTCGTGGTCGGCAGGGGCCGGGTGCTGTTGGAGATCCGGTGGTGATTGATTTTGGATGAAATGAGGTGGATGGGTGACCTGAAACGCCAGGCGTGCAGGTGTTAGAATCCAGATCTATTATATATCGCATATGAGGTGAGGTCCTAAACACTGTATCAAGGCTATGGTTTGTCTCTTATTTTGAATGATGTTGAATTCCTCATAGTCTTGTTTCAAGTTCAGAACTTGGTCCCATCATCCGTGGAAGATGCGGCCTGCCAGTGTTTGCGAGGCCTGCGGGCCTCAAACATGCACCGTGCAGAGGCCGAGAAGCGTCAAAAAGGGACGCCGGGAGATGCCACTAGGTGTTTTGCTGGTTTAGAATGTGTTGCAGTCTCTTGTTTTTGTTGGGAATGGTCACCCCAATGGCTTGAATGGATTTGAATGGACTGCCCCATTAAATTGACCAGTTTTTTGAGTGGTTTGCCAACCTGGTGTGAGATGCTTGAAATTGCCGTGCATGGCGTAGATTGGAAATGAACGGAATTTGAGCTGTTTCTTGCCAAAGAAGACATGCTCACGGCTCACATGCAAATGACCAATCATGTGGTCACGCCTCCTGTGGTCCCGCTCCACCAGACGGATGGTTGAAAAAGTGATGCCGCTCAAAGGACCCTCGCTTGTGGACGTTGGTGATGGGAGCAGGTACTGTAATCGAAGTCAGGGGCCCGATCTAAGCCATTCGCAAAAAGGCATGGTGATTGCGGACGAAACATACATTCAACATCATCGCTGGGTCATTTGCAACCACATCATTGCCTAAGGCCTAAGGGTCCATCACCCAAATCGACAGACTGGTGATGACTCCATGTCTACAGCAGTTTCATCCGAAACACTCTCCAAAACGCCTCCCTCCACGCCACCGGATCCCACGTGCTCCGTGGCAATTCCCAGGGCTCAGCTGCTGTTCCAAGTGTCGAAGACACGACACCCCGCTGGGGGCGCTCAGAGCGTGCATGTGGAGCACGGCCTGGGGCCGTGCAACTGCTGGTCTTTTTCTGGGCTGTCCTGTAGTGATTGCTTTTTAACCATGATCTCAATTAGACGAGGCAATCCACAGAGATTGGGCGATTCCCCCACTCATCCATGACTTAACCCTTATGAAATGGGGATCCTGTTCCTCTACAGAATGGGTTATGAGGGCCCACTTCATAAAGGGTGGGACTTAGGAATAGAGGATTTTCGTAAGATGCCCAGGTTGGCAGGTCATTCGATTAAAAAACATAACGGTATGGAGTCACATCAAGAGTGTGAGCACAGAAAAGCATCCATGTGGATTGCGGCTACAGTCATTTCATAAACACGGCCTGTTTGGTTTAGAGCAAGCTCTTTGTTGGAGGTGCAGACCTGCAGACCTGGTTAAGTATATGATGCCATGATATTAGATCTTGTGTGTTTGGTTATGTCACGCTTATGTCATGTTGTAAAACTCCTGTGCTTGGTCTCTCCTCCAGATTGTTGCCTGACTTTTTTCCAGATGCTGGTTAGGCCATTTCACAAAAAGGTCGGTAACTCAATATATAAACAGCTATATAGACGACGAGTGGCCCGAAAGCAATTTTCACCACGTGTGAAGTTAGAATGCGAGTTGTGTGTTAAGTGTTACTGTAAGTCTAGTGTGTTGAGTAAGTGTGTGGGCCTCTGTGTGTGTGTGTCTATGTGTGTATCTATGTCTGTGTGCGTATGTGTCTCTCTCTCTCTCTCTCTGTATGTCTTTCTCTATATATCTCTCTCGAAAAGTAAGTGTCGTTTACATAGAAAGCCCACATGCTTAAAAGAAACGCGCAGGAACACCTTTTTTCTGCAAGCTTTTGACCTCTCGCAAGCCACCGACATTTGGGTAGCGCTGCGTCCACACCTGAAGGAACTTTCGCAGAACAAACAATGTGAGAACGCAAAAGACAAAAGTTCTGAGCCAGGTACGCAACAGGTAGGTTTCGCTAACTAATGACCTGCGAAATCATGAAATATATACATCAGCTTTTCCACGAAATATAACCAGAGGTCACACATTCTTCGCTCGAGATAATGAAAAACGTCCTAAAGTAGTTACCCACCAGTATATGCTTGTGCAACATTTGTCGATCAACTCTCAAAAACAAAAAACCTCCACATCAAAGATCGAAACGTCGCAAAGATTCCAGCGCCGAAGACCGGTGAGTGGACCAGGTTGGGAGGCCAGACAGTAAGCTTGAACCTCGACATACAGTGGTTGGTTAACTACATCTAGAGTGAAGAAAACGTTACCTTTAGAGCCCTGTGGCTGCCATGCATATGTGCAACCAGACTGTGCATTTTGCATAGCTTACCTTTTGGTGCTCAAAGTGAGATTGCAGAAATCTCCATACAACTTGGGCCAGCTACCACCAGATCTTTGCCAGGAACTGAGGCAACTCAACAGCAATGAAGAATGTACTTGCAACAAGTTTAAACACACCCCACAAGCTTTTGCAATATTCATTTCATTTCCTACATGAAACTTTACAAGGCAAACAGAACCTTCTTATGGCTATGCATGTGTTGAGCCTCATTTACCACTGCTGAAAAAACAGTTTACCAATTTGCAGCCCACTTGCTCCCAGGTCTGCCTTTTCTCCCAGCCATCATGCCAGGGAACCTTGGCGTTGTTGATGACCACTTCTTCACCATCAGCAATGAAGACCAGAGAGAGGTGTGCCTCACATGGTCCTATGGAAGCAGGACATACCATCCTGACCAGCCAGAGATCATCCATGAAAGATTGCCAAACCAGTCTATAGTAACCAGAGACTGGGTTGCCCATGGGGAAACCTGGCAGTTTTGGAGAGTTGTCAAGCGGTCCAATGGATGGGAAGACTGGGTGAGGAACAACAGCCAAAACTTCACAGATGCCTACACCATCCAGATATGCTTCGGGTCCAAGCAATAGGCCCAGACCATGCTGGCAAAGACCATGCTGCCAAACCAGGCAAAGACCCTGAATGGAGGTGAAAAAGGGCATATCTATGGTTGGGAAAGACACCTGGACGAGAGTACTGACGAGAGTGTATCGTGCATGTGGATGGAAACCTTTGAAGCAGTCAAGAAGGTAGAGGGTTGGTCTCGCTTTGCTTGGCTTCTGGTTGCACACTTGTTACACCCTGCTTGTCGTCTGAGTTTGCGTGCGCGGCACAATCCGGTGACCGTTTTGGAGTCGAGATTGGACCGCAGTGGTATAGCCCAGGAGGTGGTTGCTCTGCACGATGACTTGTTGGCTTGGCAAGATCTCCAGTTTGCCCGAGAAAGACTTGGCCAACATAATTGGCCAAATATTTCACCAGCAGGACGGCGCATGTGAGGGCCCTCCAGAAAGCCTATCCTGCAGGCTTTGCACCGCTGCCTGGTTACAGAGTTGAATGCTTGTCTTTGGAAGGCGATGCCTTGTGTGGTGTGCTCTGGCGGTCTGCAGCTGAACGTGCTCTGATGTTTTCGATCCCTGGATGGAGAGAAGAGGGCAAGGGCAAGGAGGAGTTTCATCCTTTGCAGGATTTCTGTAAGCATTGGTTTCCAGAAGCAGAAGAGATGGAGTGTCTTGATTTGTTGGAAAACACTCAGCGCCCTCTAGCTTGGAAGCTCGAGCAAGTCGCCAGACGATTGGACTGTTCTCCCACTGTCTCCGGTGTGCAAGAAGCCTTAGCCAAGCGCTTACTGCGACCCTTTCCTGATGATGCAGGTGAATGCCTACAGAATTTTGCTGTAGATTTTGCCCTGCCGACTTCACAGATGCAAAGTCCTTCGAGGAGCGCATTGCCAGGAGCACGCTTGTGTCGGCCTGCAAGATACTCCTCAGATGCTGGTAGATTATGCCGCTCACCAGCGACACGCCGCATTTACGCCAGCAAGTTTTGCACTCCCCAGTGCCACGGCCCCACGCGAACGCACTTCCCACCAAGGCCGCACAAATCCCAATGGCACTGCGACATCACGAACGTACTTTGGCCACACGGTCTATCCACACACTAGCAAACATATCACATGCGCGTTTCGTGCGAGACTTCCTCCAAAAGTGCAGCGGCAAGTCTCCAAAACGAGCGTTTCGTACGAGATTTCCTCCAAAAGTGAAGCGGCAAGTCTCCAAAACGCACTCTCGCCTGCATTTCGCCCTCGACACGCACGATCTCCGCAGAGGGTTGCGTCGGAACCGGGCAAATCGCACTCTCGCCCGCATCTCGCGCACTCGACACGCACGATCTCCGCAAAGGGTTGCGCCGGAACCGGACAAAGCGCACTCTCGCCTGCATTTCGTGCACTCGACGCACGATCTGCGCAGAGGGTTGCGCGCACACCGGACAAATCGCACTCTCGCCTGCATTTCGTGCACTCGACACGCACAATCTCCGCAGAGGCTTGCGCGCGCACCGACAGAATCGCACTGCCATTCGCGCGCTCGACACGCACGATCTCCCCAGAGGGTTGCGCGCACACCGACAGAGTTGCACTCTCGCCTGGAATCCACTTTCATGTGACTTGGTTGTTTCACCAGACTTGGTTTCCAACTATTGGCTGATGTTGTCAGTGCCCAGTTGATTGTCAGCACTCATGGCACTCATGGCAACATAAGTTGATTGTCAGCACTCATGGCAATCGTGGCAACTTGAGTTGATTGTCAGCATTGCGACAGAAATCAAATTTTCTGAAACTGTGAAAGAGGCTCGTTGTAACTCCCAACTAGCTGCCGGCGTTAGGGTGGAGATCACTCGAAGTTTACCTTGTATAACGGTGGAGATCACTCGAAGTTCATGTTGTTTACAGTATATGTTTTTGGTAAATGTCGAAACCAAGCATTCAATTGTTGATATGGGTTGCTGAGTCGCAGCGCTGTTTCGTGCTTTCTCGCCCGTTCCCTTTCAGCGTGGCGTTTTTGAGATCTGTGATTGGTCACTGCACTCAGTGGCTTTGGAGCAGTAGCTCACAGCCATGCCAGCTAAGCGCCCGGCCGCTTGCAAGCGCCCAGCTGCTGCAAAAGCGGGTGTGACAGCCAAAGCGCTTGACCAACCAAGCGCTAAGAGTGCCAAGGCAAGTTCCAGCAAGAAGCGGCCAGCTTCCACGCAAGACCCTGACGAGATTTTTGAAGAAAGCGATGTGGGGTCGTAGCTTGTCATCAGAAGTGTGGGGATGTGTGATGGTTTATTTTTTTTAAGATTCGACTCCTGACAGCTGACGCTGACTGGATCATTGATCGTTTTTAGACGAGGCCTGCGAATGCCATGGATGACAATGATGGGGGCGGTGAATTGCCCCGGGAGTCTGACATTTTTCCAGAGAGCGACGATGAAGATGCCAATAGTGTGGATGCGTCCTTGCAGCACCCGCCGGCCATTTGCGCTATAGGGGTCGGAGGTTGTGAAATTGTTCAGTTCGTGTTACATGCGTTTCAATATATAATATTTGTCACCATTTTTCGATCATATTGGGGAGTTAGCAGAAACCCGCGTGCAGGTGGACAATATGGTTCACGGCTGGTGCCAGCTCAAAGGCTTGGCCGAGGATCTCGCCTTTTCTTTGCAGTACTTGGGCCGTGGGGAATCAACTATCTCAGCCGCCTCAATTTGCACGGGCTGGGGCGTTGCTGACATGGTAATTGATGCTGTGAACAGTGCCATGTCCCGCCACGCAGAGACGACGCGGATCAACCCGATCCCAGAGGCAGGTTCTTTTCCGGTGTTTGAGGGTGAACGAGGGGTGGCAGTCCGTGGTCTTGTCAGGGGTGAAAGAGGTAAACCCTCCGTGGTCCAAACCCATCCGGCTCAAGCTGCTACGACCATAGGTAAAACTTTATGAGTTGTCCTTCGAGAATGACCAATTGCCAAATCCATATATTGTATGTATAACACCCTTTGATAGGAACTTTGACATGCACTGTCATGATGGCCTGGCGCCATGGGGAGAAAGCAGACCAGGGCAAGGCTTGAGACC